AGAGTTTTGCACAGAGCCCCCCCAGCAAAAAAAAACCTCCAGGGCCCCTTTTTTTTTTTTTTTTTTTTTTTTTTTTTTTTTTTTAGATATTCTTCCGTCCAGAAAAAAAAAATCCTAAGTTAAAAGCAACAAGTCGCAGTTTGTAAGTGTAAATATGTAGATGGATTATTGTCTTTAAATAGCTGCAGATGTTATATATATTAGAGTCTTGTTACTGTGCGGGAAGATTCCCTTGTCTGTTCCTTACATGTTGCACCTGCTTCATTCATTTTATCCGTCTTTGTTCAACGCTTTTCTCTCCACTGCCCGACTTAATCAGTGACCACTTGTTTATTTTTTTAAATGTAAAACAAAAAAGAATAAATGGAAATATTTATTTACTTATTTGGGTGGAAATTTCAAATGACTCTTGTTCCATTGGGGTTTTGAAATGTTAAGAAAAAAAAAAAGAAAAGACAATTAATAAATAAATAAATGAAAAATCGTTAAAATCTTGGTGATTTTTGTCCTTTTTTCCCCCCATTTATTACTGTTATATTTTAGTGCTTTCTTTTGCTTTTGCATTGTATTTCCTATATTATTTCTATGTCAATAATAAAATCTGGAAAAAATTTTTTATAAATCAATATGGGACATTTTTACATGTCAAAACATGTGGAGTCAAAAAACTAATCTTATCAAGTCAATAGGTAATTTAGAGTCAAATTGACTGTTATCTTAAAAGATAAAGAAAAAAAACGGATTTAGGAAAACTAAAAAACATTTGTAGTTAACTTTATTATTATTTATTTAAAAAAAAACACCTGCATTTAAAAAGTGAAGAACTGTTTTAAAGTTTGAATTAGAATATGACAAAAAAATTATACTCCTGTATTAAGTTAATATATGGTAATATATTGTTTTCTTTATTACTATGCAATTGTCATTGGTAAATAAACTCTTTGGCCCCATATTAGCCAAAGGTGGGGATTTTTTTTTAAGATCCTGATCAAGTAAACTTGTTCAGAACTTGTGATGTAGACATTTCAATACTAAGAACAAAATAACTTTCCTGTTACAAAAGCCTCACACCAATAAGCAAAACCATCAAAAGGAAACCAGTTTCTTTTTTTTTTATTATTTGTTTTCTAAGAATGTGAAAGCAGCACCCAGAGTCGTCCTGCTAACAAATTACAAAGGCACCGAATGCTTCTGTTGGCGCTGACAGGCCAGTAATAAACAAAAGCCGTTTAGACTTTAGGAAAATCAAGCAGCTGCAGAGCAGATTGTGCATGCTGTAGCAATATTTTCCAAAAGCTTTTGAAGCTGGAACGATACGAACTCGATCCCTGAATATTCATGCACGGATTTGTTTATTCGTCTCATTAGTGGAATTGAATTATTCAAAGTCCTTCATGGTTTTTTGTAGGACGTTTGAGAGAGGGAGAGAGGTCGTTTCGGTGAGATGCAACAAGCACAGGCGAGGAGTAAAGTCTGCGAAAACAAAAGGAGCAAGTTGAGAAACAACTTCTATTTTTCATATGTCTGATTTCAGCAACTCTGCTTTTTAAAAATGAGAGCCAATGACGGCAGTCTCAAACTAAACAGAAGGTGTGAATTAGACCTAATCTGCAGCCTGTTTACTCGTCTAGCTCATCTAACTTTTGAGTTTTATATCATTAAAAAAAGAAACGTTCTTCAGATGACATTTATGATGGCTTTGCTTTGTGCAAC